AGTCTGTCATTATGTCAACTGCACATGCATCACATGGTAATTAACTTTTATTTGTTTATTTCTGATTAATATTGTTCATACTGTCTTTGCACTTTGTCTTTGTTGTTGCCTTCTGTGTTTCTATCTGCATCCTGCTGCTGTATTTGATCTAATTTTATCCTATTTTAGCCAGAACTGTGCAAAGGTCACATTTTTATATAATTCTTGTTATGTTGCCCATAATGCAATTGTTTTTTTTTTTGAAGTACTACAAATGAAGGTGCTTTAATGAAGGAGACGTTTAAACAACATACCTGTAGTAATCAGCATGTATTCATCATCAGAGGAAGCCTTATGTCTCCAGCCATCACCCACAGCACACCAGTACCTGCCTTCATCTGACTTCTGCAGGTTCCTCATGGTCACAATGAAGACTAAGTTCTGGGGATCATCAGTGATGGACACATTGTTCATGGCCAGTGGGGAGTCACTGCATGTCTCTGGGCTGCAGGATGACGTGCCTTTCCCTTTACACCAGGATTTCACACTGTCTCTGTGCTCCTGACCATAGAAACACGGGATGCTGATGGATCCTCCTGCTGATCCAGTTAATGTCGTCTGTTTGGAGCTTCTTACAGGGAGGATGGCTACAAGAAGAACAGCAAACCTGTGAGTAATGTGTCACGGTCTTTGGAAAAGGAATTATATAGTCAGACAGATAGATACCATGTGGCTACTGCTGGTTTCTAGAACCAAGCCTGTCTTCTCACCTGCTTCTGGAATTTGGTCTGTATTTGGTAAATGTTGTATCCTACATTGTTTTTGACCTTGGCCAGTATTTCAACCTACGATTCTCAAATATCTGTATGTTGCCCTTTAGGCCAGACTACAATCTGTTACACTCTGAATCTGCACTGGGATCTCAGACCACTTTCATTACAAGGTCAAGATGATGTCAATTTCATTAGCATTCTTGGCTGTGAGAATAAGGAAGTGTTTCATTTTGAATTACTTAGAACTGTAAGTGTAATAACCAGAACCTCACAGGCAAAATATGCTACATTAACACTCTGATATCAGCTTTGAGCAATTTACTCATTTCAGATCAGTGTCTGAGAGCTTCACTTACTCACAATAAAATTTTGTTATGCTACTTTCTGGTTAATAATATATCTAATATGGTTATTTAATTTTCACATCAAAAGAATTTACTAGAGAGAAAATGAACCATTTTTCCTTTTTTGATCAGTCAAACAAAGTGAACAAAATGCCAAGCTTTACCTGGTAACCCTATAAAAAATAATGAAGGAGGAAGAGGAGAGGAGCCATGTCTGGGGTGTCGATTGTGGCCTTTAGCTGTATCTGTTTCTATCCTTCTGTAATAAACTGTCTGTGCTGATTCTGAATGTGTCAGTGCATTAAAGAGGGGGACTGGCAGAGAGGGAAGGAAGGAGATCACACACATACACACACAGCATCAATTTTCTCAAGTTTCTGCATCTTTAATACGAGTCATCAGCAAGGGTCTGTAGAGAAGTGGCAGACATGTTTGCTGTTATCTTTGCACACACACACACACACACACACACACACACACGCACATGTAGGGTAAACATATCCTTATGGGGACCGCTCATTCATTTCAATGGGAAAAATGCTAACGCTAACTATGACAGCCTTAACCCCTACCCTAGTTTTTGCATTTTTATTTTTTTCATAGCAG